CCCTCACCGCTCTTACCGCCCCCCACGTGCCTGCCCCAGCCCCCCACAGATCCCCCCCAGTGCTCTTACCCGCCTCCCGCCTCACATGTCCTCCCTGCCCCCCACAGATCCCCCTCACCGCTCTTCCCAACCTCCCACATGCCTGCCCCAGCCCCCCACAGATCCCCCTCACTGCTCTTACCCGGCCCCCCACGCCCACCTCGATCCCACCCCCCCAGCCTCACATGTCTCTCTGCCCCCCCCAGATCCTCCCCCACCGCTCTTCCCAACCCCCCACATTCCTGCCCCAGCCCCCACAGATACTCCCTCACCGTTCTTACCCAGCCCCCCACGCCCACCTAGATCTCACACCCCTGCCCCCCATAAATCCCCCCTCACCGCTCTTACCCGGCCCCCCACTCCTGCGTAGATCCCACCCCTCCACCCTCACATGTCCCCCAGCACCCCCAGATCCCACTTAATTGCTCTTCCCGACCCCCCGGTACCTGCCTCAACCCCCCCACAGATCCTCCCTCACCCCTCTTACCCAGCCCCCTACGCCTGCCCAGATTCTGCACCCCTGCCCCCTCACACATCCCCCCTCACCCATCCCCTGCATCCCACAGATCCCAGCCCCCCATGCTCCCCTAGATCCCACCCCCCCAGCCCCCCACAGATCCCGCCCTCCCCCAGCCCCCCACAGATCCCACCTCAATGCTCTTACCCAGCTCCCCATGCCTGCCTAGATCCCACCTCCCAGCCCTCCACAGATTCCCCCCTCACCACTCTTACCCAGCCTCATGTGCCTATCCCAGCCCCCCACAGATCCAACCTCACTACTCGTACCCAACCCCCCCCTGCCCTGCCTAGATCCCACCTCCCTGCCCTCCCCCAGTCTCCAGCCCCTCAGGCCCCATCTAGATCCCACCTCCCTGTCCTCACTCTTCCCCCACTTAAAACCCATCTGTCTGCCCTCTCCCATACCCTACCTTACTGTTCTTACCCAGCCTCACATGCCCCACCCCCAGCACTCCACCGAGAACCCACCGCACCATTCCTATCCAGTGCTTTGTGTCCCACCTAAATCCCACCTCACACTCCCCTACCCAGCCCCTCAATATCCCCCCTGTATGCCATTGTGTCCCCAGCTACCCCTATACACTTCCTACCCAGCCCCTCAATAGCTCACCTCACTGTCCCTTCCCTATCCAGCCCCATACATACCCCATGTCTAGTCCCTACTACCCAAACTTCCAGCCTCCAATACTCTGCTCACAATATTTCACCTGGCTCCCAATATCTGGCCTCCAGCCTCACAGCCTTCTATAAACACCCCATGTACAGCTCCCTCAGTTACCAGCTCCCCCACATACTCCGTATACCTGTCATATCCAGCCTCCAATATCTAACCCCCAACCTTCTTACTTAAGGCTTAATATTGAAGTCAGAAATGGGGTTGCGTATTGGAACAGTGATTGTGGGGAATACATCCTCATATTGCCTCACTATCGAAGCCACAATCCCCTTGAATCATAGCAGCTCTCCTGTATCCACCCCTATACTTAGTCCGACAATATGGCACCCACAGTTCCCCAAGCTCAGCCTTCTAGTCTTCTGTAATTAAAGTGCACACACTTCCCCTTTGAAAAGTGACAACAGTGCAGCTCTTATATGCTCTGCCTTACCTCCCCTCTACAGTTCCTGTATAAATACAAATCCCCCTTAATCCTCAACTAGTTAATACTATACACAGCATTCCCACCCTTCTAGCTATAAGGAACAAAAGTTCAACCCCCTGTTTAATCTTCTAGTTAATATTCACAGAGGTGTGTCTTCCCACCTCCCCTGCTAAAGCAGTTGTCTCCCTAATCTGCTAGTTTGAGGTGTCTTTTTATTTCCCCATATTGCTTCCAGGCACAACAATCCCCACCCCATCCCATGCAACTGCTCCCCCCCCTTCATCTGCCACCATTACCATGCATTGTTGTCCTCGCCCTTTTCATGCTGCTGCCTGCAACCTCCGCTCTCCCTCTTTGCTCACACACCTGCAGTACCCTAACATCTGAGAGTTTTACTACTTATCTCCTTCTGTGTCCTGTCCTCTCATGCTGCCACTCCTGGAAGGCACAACAATGCAATCAAACATGCACGCTCCTGCATGTGGAAGTCTAGCAAGCTGCTCCCCTACTAATCATCTGCTCCTTAACCTTGAAGTCTTTCCTCGCCTCCATGATATTTGCATCACCTGCATTTTAAGAATATTTTATATTATAAAGACTTATTGGCAAGGCATTGTTAATATTTCTTGATGGGACTATTGAAAAGGGGTTTTCAGTTAATACATAGTCTAATCCCCCATGTTTGTTTCCTACTGGGTCCCCCCCCCTCCACTCCTCTTTCAAAATGGTTGTGTTGCAGTCCTTGGTTCTTCCCCAGGGCTGATTCTTGTTGCAGTAGCTATCTAGACAGACAAACCACAGTGTATTTGATTCTTTCTGTTTGTATTGCTTAAATTGCACTCTGAGCAGGCAGGAGGCAACTGAACCTTTTGCTCCATTGACATGTAGAGATTTTTATTTAAAACATAAGTGTTTGAATTCCCACAATTTAGAGGCTGAGGTTGTTGGCAGAGTGCTCAGAGTTTACCCATTTTTAAGGGTTAGTATCTTTTGTGTTCTTTTGAAATTGAAACCCTATAAAAGGAAATAATTGATATTTAATTAGTATTGTTTTTAAACCAAAAAGTTCCTATTTCTTTTTGCAATAAAAACAAGATGTCATGATAGTCCTGATAATGCTACAATATTACTTGCAAGCCAACTAAGTTTTGGAAAGCCAAGTTATATTTAGTAGCTTTGAAGTAAAGTTGTTTGACATCTACATTTTCTTCTCCAAAGAAGTAGCATTCTAAAGTTACAGTACTTATTTTTGTGCTAATTCTTTTGAAAAAGAAATTACTATATAATTGTCTGCAAAGTGACCTACAGTGAAGAAGGAACATGAAATTTGCTTAACATTGGGTCAGTAATTATCAATATTTTATAGTGATAAACAGTCGGTCACCTCCCATTTTAATTAGTTTGATGTTTGTAATTAATATCTAATATTTTATCTAAAATAAACCCACTTCTAAAATTACATTCTCTCCTTGTAAAGGGACCTGACAGGGTAAAAATTGACATTAAATTTGTTTCCTTGCCAACTGTGTTTTTAATTTATAAAATCATGTAAAATATCTTCTTTCCTTTTCATTGTACTGAAATATTGAATTGGGAGATGAAAATAGACCTGTTGATTTCACTTTCTGGCTCTCCATCAGCATAATGCTACAGTATCTGGGTTGCAAACATTGTAGGGTAGCCTTGTAAATTTCTGTTCACAAGGGGCAAGTAAGTTTTTTGTTTTTTGATTTTTTTGGACAGGGAGTAAAATATCCGTATCTTTTTCATTAGCACCAGTCACTGTGGTAAAGAGCACATGCCTAATTTTGTTAGCTGGGCTTGTAATTAACTCAGGACAATTTTGCATGGTTGCTTATATTTACATGTGAAACATTTTTTTAGTTTATTTTTTTATTTATTTTTTTTACTTTAGCTTTGCAGAGCCCAAATCTTGATTATGTTGATCTGACATTGACCTTAAGTGAATGGTGTCTCCAGCTAACACTTTGTTGGTTATTACTCAGTTGAGTCTCTCATTTTATTGAACACAGACCTTTGGATATACAGTATTTACAGCTATGGAGAACAAGTAGCAGAAATCATTAAACTTACAAGCAATACAGTATATAGACCGTTTATCAGTGGGAATCAGACTTTGTCTACACTGCTAAACCTATACTGGTATATAGCTATGAGTAGCCCTCTAGTGTAATGGCAGCATACTCTGACAGAGTTTTTCTGTCACTGTAGGAACACCACCTCCCCAGATGACGTTAGCTGTGCCTACACTGGGGTTTTGTCAACATAGGTATGTTGGGCGGGGTGTGGTTTTTTCACACCCTTGACTGACATAGCTATGCTGGTATAAATTTTAAGTGTAGACAACGCTTCAGAAATAAGACTTAGTTTGGACGGGGGGAAAACAAAAAATTCTGAATGTGAGGATTCTGTACTGCAGCTGAAAATGTTATAAATTCTGTAAACTAACATGGTTCCTTTTATTTTTCTTTCTGAAGGAATGGAGGGAAAAAAACTGATTTCTGCAACAGACACCCAGTACTCTGGTATGCTACTCCAGTCTTTGAATGAACAACGTGACCATGGACTTTTTTGTGACGTTACTGTCATCGTGGAGGACCGGAAATTTCGAGCCCACAGAAATGTTCTTTCTGCTTCTAGCACGTATTTTCACCAGCTTTTTTCAGTTGCTGGGCAAGTGGTGGAACTGAGCTTTATAAGAGCAGAGATTTTTGCAGAAATACTCAACTATATATATAGCTCAAAAATAATCCGAGTTCGATCAGACTTACTTGATGAGTTGATTAAATCAGGGCAATTACTAGGAGTTAAATTTATAGCAGAACTGGGTGTACCTCTGTCACAAGTAAAAAGCCTATCTGGTGGCATCCAGGATGGTACTTCAGAAACTTTACCTTCTAGCTCAGATCAAGAGAGTCTTGAAACACAAATATCCCCAACAAAACATGTGAGTCAACATGTAATTGGTGGGATGCCTGTTATAACAGAATCATTTTCCTTACATGGTGAAGAATATGAAACTACAAAAATTACAGTGAGTGATTCAGACGACGATGATGATGTCATCTTTTGTTCTGAAATTGTGCCTGCGAAAGAGCGTTCTCCAGAGACCGGTGCGGTGGCACAGAGCCAGCCTTGCCCAAATCCTGCTGCGGTTTCTGACCAAACGTCCTGTAGCACTGGTGGATCTCCCCCTCTAACTAGTATTGCAGCAACTCAAAAACTCACTTCCTCTGCCACCCAACCAAGTCCAAACCAAACACAAACTAGTGCTGAATCACTTGACTCTTCAACTCCAAAGCATTTGACTCCCAACATCATTTTGCTAAATCAGTCTCAACTTAATTCATCACTAAGTGTCAGTTCCTCACATCAACAACACGTGTCTCCTACAGTTAATTTGCTTGGGGAGAACCAACAGCCATCTAATAATGAGTCTTTAGCTGAAATGGAAACAAATGCTGTTGATGAGGAAGAAGAGGAGGAGGAGGAGGATGTGGAAGATGATGATATCATTAGCTCATCTAGTCCAGGTTCAGTCAGTAGCAGCTCTTTGGTTCAGCAATCTTCTCCCCCCAAAGTAGCGGAGTTTGAAGGATCAGGTGTACAGAAAAAACAGGTTGTTACTTTTCCACAGGAACCATCTTCCAAACCTGGGGAGTTTAAAATAAAAATCTCAGACGTTCTTACTGGAAGCAACAAGGATCCTGCGGCTGTAGCATCAAAACATGTAATGGAAGGTCAAAAGATCATAACTTTAGATACAGCTACTGAAATAGAAGGCTTGTCAACAGGTTGTAAGGTTTATGCAAATATTGGTGAAGATACATATGACATAGTAATTCCTGTAAAAGATGATCCAGATGAAGGAGAAGTCAAACTTGACGAGATGCCTAGAACATCTGGTGATGATCCTGCAAACAGAAAACGCATGAAGCTAAAACATGATGATCACTATGAGCTCATAGTGGATGGAAGGGTCTACTACATTTGTATTGTATGCAAGAGATCCTATGTATGTCTGACAAGTTTGCGGAGACACTTTAACGTTCATTCCTGGGAGAAGAAGTATCCATGTCGATACTGTGAGAAAGTTTTCCCTCTTGCAGAATACCGTACAAAACATGAAATTCACCACACTGGTGAGCGAAGGTACCAATGCTTGACATGTGGGAAATCTTTCATCAATTATCAGGTTATGGCTTCACATATAAGATCAGTTCATAGTCAAGACCCTTCTGGAGATACCAAGCTTTATCGTTTGCATCCTTGCAGGTCTTTACAGATCAGACAATATGCATATATTACTGATCGTTCAAGCAGTATACCTGTAATAAATGAGGATGGACTTGTTTATCGTGTTGGTGCAGGAAAAGATGATGCTGAAGGAACAACTTCTAATCCTCCAACCAAGCCAATGACCTGGGATGATATTTTCATTCAGCAGGGAAGTGAATCAATTTTTAAACAAAATCTATCAGAGGGTAGTACTGAATTTGAGTTTGTAATACCAGAGTCTTACTGAAATGCTTTAAGTGCTGAAAAAGCTTCAGTATAGAAAAGGTGCAACTGTTTCAAATGAACTAAAAATATTGTAAAACAAATTGTTAAAGTGAAAACAAGTTTACTTGTTCTACCAAGTCATCAAAGGGTAGCATTTAGATGGATTATTTGTAGCTGCAAGTCATTTGTAGTAGCAATTCATCTGAAAGTTGACTTGAATACAGAATAAGATATTTCCAAGGAGCTGTCAGTGTTTTTTCTAGTTCATTAATTTTCATTTAAAAAAAAAAAGGAAAGTTATAGCTTGACAAGGTACAGTTTCCTTAAATAATTTGAAACATTGTTTTTCTTCTAAAATTGGGGTATTTCCCCTACCTTGAAACATTTATTACATAAACTTTTTTCTTTCATGTTAGCACTTTAATGCTGAATTCTCTTTAGATGTTAACACCAAGACCACAATAAGATGTTCAGCATAACCTCTTGGATATGGCATAATTTAAAAAATCCCACTGCTCATACATTAACTCTGAATAGTGTATAACTGCAAGGGTCCAAACTAACTGATCCATTAGTTTGGAGCAGTGTATTTTTGAACCAGCATCTTAGTTTTGTTTTTCTGGTCAAAATGAACCAATTCTTTGTGAAAATGTTCATACTGATAAGAAAAATTCAGTTTGGGTTAAACTGAACAAGATTTATTTATATGTGTCAATATGGTAAGCAGAGTATTCAGTGGCTGGACCATTATATTTTATTCTTTTTTGCAATGGGGAAAAATATCAAACTACGATATTGACGAAAAAGAACATTGAAGAGAAAGATCAAGTTTTGCAGCATGTTTTTAAAATCCTGAGGAATAATGTCAGACCTTCTTATTATTAAAGAGTATGCTGATTATTTAGAATGAGTTGCTGCTTTCCTGTTTTGTTCATTATGGCAAAAGGCTTCGATCAGATATTTAAAACATTTTTATAATACTTTTCCTAGCAGAAGACTGCAGAATATGCTTCCTGAAACCGAGAAGTAATGTAAATGATGCCTCAGCTCTGTAGCTGAGACTACTACAGATTTTACAGGCCTGTTTAGCTAGATTTTTAATGAAGTACTGAAAACTTTTCCCAATGGGAAAGGTTGCTGTCAGGAGGACTAAATCAATAATCAAGTTTTTTTTTTTAAATGTGTTTATATAGGTTCCATGGCATAGGCATATCAATATTCATTTTCAGTTTTAATAATATCCCTCCTTTCCCATGCAATTGGCACATATTTAGGCACTTGGAAAATAGTTTAGTAAAAGTTCAACTAGAACAAGAAATGCTAGTTTACTTTCAGTACTATCAGCACAGTCACATAGTCTAGCATTTCTGATTTAGTAACTTGTTGAATTTTTGTAAATGGTAAGATGAAAATTAAACAGAGGTTTATAGATGACTGAAAAGAATTGTTGTGCATAGTGTTAGTTATTAGTAACCTTTCATTAAATCTCTTACCTAAATCACAGTTTAGGATTTTTCTTCTCATATTCATGTTTTAAGAAAAAACATTTATTTCATGTTCAGACCAACATTTCTTCACCTTATGACCTTCAATCTTAAATTTCCAGAAAGATAAGTTCTATTTCAAGGTAAATGGTTCAAATATAATTAAAGCTATAATTAAGGGGTACCAGAAATCAGTATTTGTAATAATGGGAGGAGGAAAAGAGAATTTGTTTAGCTACTAGGTATAGTATGCAGCACTTCTGTTTTCTAGGCTAAGAACACAATATGTCTAAATGTTTTTATATTGTAAATTTACCCTTTTAAAATTAGGAACTAGGATTTTATTCAAAACTATGTGCATTGTCAAAATCATAAAATAGGTTGATTTTGTGTAGATGTTTATAAAAATTGCTCTTTGGGCATCAGGGGAATATTTTAAAATGTGATAGGTTGAATGTTGTTTGAGTTTCATTGATGGCATTTCAGCAGTTACACACAATCCTTTCAAAGAAATAAATATTGATTGCCTATAATAGCACAGGTTGTACTGACTTACCTAACTGTGTACTAGATAAAAACTTCATATCATGAAAAACATTGAGGGTATATTCTAAATTAACCTAGTGTGACACATCTGGAATTAAGCTTGCCTTGCAAAATATATATCCAATAAGAATGGCTATCAATATTTGCTGCTGATAAGGTTTAAACCTTAAGTAAAACTGTGCCTACTAAGGTGTCTCTTTAGAAAAAAAAACTGGAAAATTAGTGGTTCAAAAGGTGTCGTTTTGCCAGAAGACTCAGGCCTGCATGTGTCTCTCAGTCTTCTATTTTCCTTGGAAGTGAGCGTCGATATCCAGAGTCCAAAGGTCATGTAAAATAAACTTTTTTTAAACTTCACTTCCAGTATTTATTGGATTGGAAACATGTTAGACCCCTTCTTTTAAACTCTTTATGGGGCAATAGTTTTTTATATTTAGATTTCTGGCTATTGTATTTAGGGTGGGTTTTGTTTTTGTTTTTTTAAATCTTTATCATTACCTTCCGGTTTGACTTAATCCAAAACATTTTGTAAATATTAAGAAATTGGCTCTGGAAAAAAAATGGGATTTACACTAATTGAATCTGAACATGCATTTATATAAATATTATTACAACATTCAGCAGAGATCCCGTAGCAAACCTAAACATCATTTTACAAATATAAAAGTTAACTTTGATCTGCTACAAAATGTAAGAATGATGGCTAAGAGTCCTCACTGTGTGGCTCCTATGGGAATTCATACCACAGCATTCCAATATATAAATAAAACAAATACGGAGATAGCAAAATTGATAGGTTGCTTATTTATTTTGTACTGTTAAGGCATGCAGCTTATACAAAGATGCAAAAGCTGACAACTGTATACATTGAACATTGGGTTCTACAGCTGTTACCTATCAACTGTTCTGTGTGAAACATTGTTCATTTTTACCAATACTGTAATGTATATACTTGTACAGTCTTTTCCTTAACATAGTTTTTAAAGTTGTGTTCTACTTTTCATTAACCGATAATGGATATTAGTTCTTAGAGCTTTCTATGGCAAAAATAAAAGTTTTAATTCTAGAGATGTGCAGAATGTTTCTTTTCAAGGGCAATCCACTTTTCTGAGACACTTTGTGTTTCTCGGCGACCGGTTTGTGGACCAGCGCCCACCCCTGAGGTCTCCCTGACAATTTAGGAAGGCAGCAAACCAATTCCTGGGATCAAGAAGGTTGAGAAACACAGCTTTAGATGAGTGAATGTTGATAATTGTCTCCTGTAGGACTTTTTAAGGTAGCAGTGAATTCTCAAAAAAATTTATGCAATTTAGAGGTTTCTTTTATTAAGCTAAATTAGTTGAACAACGGTGCATATTGTAAACTGCACCGTCTAAAAGTATTTTGAGCCAGTTTGTGTTCTGCTTGACTTCTAATTGGGTTGCACTGGTCTAGAAACGTATACTTCTTGTTGTCTTATTCAGCTGATGTATTTCAGTTAACTCCTGGTGCAGCGACTTCATATTTAATGAAGCTGCAAATAAATTAATCTCTAATTGGTTATGGTTTGGGATTTTTCCATCTGCAGTTCTTGAGATAATTGAATCTTTGGTTGACAAATTATTATTGAAATGGGGTCTAATTCTGCAACTCTTAATAAGTAATACTTACTGGAGTAGACCCAATAAACTCAATGGGACTGTTTGCATGAGTAAGTGCTAATCAGCATAGTAAAACTGATGTGGGGAAAGGATTTGACAAGAAAAACATAGCTACTCAGAAACTTGTCAAAAACAGTTTGGGGAGAAAATATCAGGAACATTAGTAAAACATCTCATTCATGTAGGGATTGGACTTGCTCCTGCTGGGGTCAACAGCAAAACCCCCACTGACATGAGTGGTGCAGGATCAAGCCCAGCATAATTATTGATTTTAATATAAAAATAAGTGAATGGGATACTGTACTGATTACATTATACACATCTGTTTTAAATAAAGTCTTCCATTTTAATGTTCTTCAGCAGAATTTCTCTGTGTAGCAGACTACAAAGGATACAGAGCCTTGCGCATACTGGGTAGCACTTATAGGTGTAACCCCCCTGAAATCAATGGAACTACTCAGGTGAATAAGGATTGCAGAATTGTAGTTACCACAACTATAAAATGCGTAGGATACATTTGTTCTTTCAACACCCAATTTACAAAACCAGGACTCAGTGACTTCACTGGGACTACCAAGGGTAGTAAGCACCATGCCCAGTAAGGTTGGCAGTTCTGGGCCCTAAAATAGCAAATGCTGTCTTGGCTTTTTCTGTAATTCCTGGTTACATACAAGGAATTTCAGTGTAATGGTTGCAACACTAATACTCAGAAAAGCTGCTAAAATGTAAACTGCAACTTTGTAAACATTTAAAAAAAGTCACAGAGTTTTATTTTACTTTTGTGAAGTAATAAAAGATACATACGTGTAGTAATTTTTACATTCTCATAAGACATTATGGATACAGTGCATAACATTGCATTTATGTTCAGTGTTTATACTGTTGTTGAAGCAGAAGGAAAACAGGTAGTTGAACAGAAAATCCCAATGATGCTTTTAATGTAATGTTGAGTTGTCCTTTTATAATGAATTTAAAGCAGCAATGCAGCTTTTGCTTAAATATACCAGCATATAACAATTAATAAAAAGCTCAAAGGTTTGGAAAAAAGTGTGTTGACAATTTCTTAGGTTTTCTGCTTCTGTCAGGCCAAAGGTACTAACAATACACCTGCTTCCAAAGATCCTTTTTCTGGCACTGCGTTATTTTTCTCCCCTCATGACTGTGCAATGCGCCTTAGTTCTGACCTGCAAAACCCCTATGCCTTGTAGCCCTATTTAATAGAGATAGGCACAAATGGTATACTATTGTCCAGGTGAGGTTAGGACTGTAACTTTTATTTCAAAGCTCTAGAAGTAAAATACTATTTTTTTAAAACATTTATGCAATATATTTCTCACAGGGAGTTGTACCATGGGTGCTGTCACTTTTTTTTTTTTTATATGCATGCAAAGTCTCTTTTAAGGATGTGATTGAGTTGAACAGCTGTGAGGTTAATTTAGACCAGAAGGGGTATTAGTGTGCTAATTTATTTCTGGTGTCCAAACTTACGGGAGCTGTATTTTAAACCATATATAATGGGGAGGGCTGGGCGGGGGGGGGGGTCTACTGGAACATGTTCGGCATACACTACTGCTTTAAATCCAGTGAGTATCTTGCATGTATTTCTCCTCCTCCCACCATTTTCTAAGAAGAAATATTTCGTTGTCAGAGAGAAGTTCTACATTTGCTTCTGGTTGAACAATTGATTCTCTTTTGAGTTTGAGACTAGACGGACTTGTATCTGACAGGGAAATGATGAGTCTAAAAAACTGCCTAAATGCTTTGCAAATGTACAGGGTTAAAGGCAGCACATGAAAGTGTGGTTGTACTCTGGAAGTGACATCGTGGGTCCCACCTGTATCTTCCTTTCTGACACCATCTCACATTTGCTTAGGTTGCAAGTAGAAAGATGCTGCACTCTCAAGTCCAACTGTATTAGTTGTGGCTCACATAACAGCATAAAACTCTACAAGCCGAATGTTGCTCTCCGTTACATTTTGTCTGGATTGAGGTGACACAGGTGTAAATGCAGCCTTACAGTTTACACTTCTTTAGATGCAGGAGCTGAAATAGAATCCAGCCTTTTCGGTATAACAAGCAAAAAGCAGATGCCTTATTTTTATCCCCAGAGTAAACAGATGGAATGCTCAGAGTGAGTGGTTCTGAGCTGAAAGTTACCAAATATCCACACTTTAAAGGAGCATTGTGCCACTTAAGAAGGATCTTTTTTGTTAGGCAAGATGCATGCAAAACTTGCATGAAATCTAGATCAGCACAATTATCATTTGAAGATTAAAAGAAAGTCACAACGATAACAGCAAATTCTTATCAACTTTGTCCTAGGCTATTGTGTACGTGGTGTTGAATTTTATCCACAAGAGACTTACATCTTGAGAACAAAAAGTGGAAATTCATGACATGCAGTTTGTAATACAGCCACTAAAAAAGTTCTTATACAGGGTGCTGACTCAAAACAATCTATAAAAATTTCCCAACCAAAAGAAGGAAAACCCATGGTTTTGCTGAAATGACTTGTGGACAGTATCGGATGCTTTTGCTTAGCAGAACACAGAAAACTGCATCTTTCTATTTAGGAGATATCTACAATCCAATTGCTGATACACAACCACCCAAACTGTGTGACTTTTATATTATTTATACATACCAGAACTAACAATACTCTGTTCAATATTACACCTCCTACCTTATGATGCATCCTGAAACAAGCCATCCTGCCTAGTGCAGTTCTCTCTTTCCGCAGGCGCTATTCCAGTTGTTGGACTACTACAGGACATCATATCCTATAGAATTATTTTTCCATCCGTTTGTATTCTGTTTTAAGAAACTCATGCTCTTCTTTGGATTTTCCTTTGATAAGGATGTAGACTGTAGGCAATGAAAGATGTGAACTACATTCCACAGCCCAGCAATGTCCATCTAGTAGGAAGCGAAAGGCCAAACAAAATTAACATCAGAGCTGATTTGCAAGCACCCTCACCTTTAGAGCAAAAGAGTAGGCTGGGGCAACTCCTGGTTTTGGCTAACCCCACTCCATATTTATCCAGGTGACTGCTCAGCTCAAGATGAAGCGTGGCAGACTGCGATCAATAGTCTGACCAGGTAGCACCTCTTAAAAACCAAGGACTACTGTGAATCATATTGTAAAACAGAGGCCTGAATTTAGGTCACCCGCTAGTCACTGACACTAGTAAGCATCAATGAAATAATCCTTGCTCTATACACAGTTGTTAAACCCCTACATAAGTCTTGCAAGAATGAACAGAATCCAGTATTTTATATTGTCTTCTGTAATGTTCTCTCCCACCCCAATAAAATATAAATACAAAATGTTCACAATTATTTCAAAAGCACATTTTTTTTCTTTATGGTGTATAAGGTGGTGGCTTTTCAAAAGGAGGAAAATATGGTGGAGAATAGCGAGGAGGAGCATTGGAGGACCACATGTAGCTTGGAGATGGTGACATTGACTGGGGGTCATCTGAAAGGCCAGAAGGAGTGGAGGTTGGAAACACACTGGAATGCTGCGCAGAAGAGACACAAATACTTTTGTCAATAGCAAGCGTGAAAAGAATACAAGGTAAATAAGCATTTCTTAATCTCCTACACTGAAAGGGGCAGTGGCCAGTTAAAAAAACAAAACGTTTTTATCAAGCAGTATGATGTTCCTAATATTTTACACCTTGATCCTGCAAACACTTGTTATACACATGCTTAACTTTATTCAAATTAATAGCCCCATTGAAGTCAAGTTAAGCAGCTGAGTAACCATTTGCAAGATAAGAGCTTAAGATTGTTAAAACTCAGAGTTAAATTTGATTTCCCTTTCATCATTTCTGCTCTTTACTTAATGCACTTAACTAAGCTTACACAATTAACACAGACTAGTCAATTTCATCAGTTGTTTTTCAAACATTAGACCGCTGCTGTAATGTTTAGGTTGCAAACAAGAATCAAATCTTTCTGTATGTGTGTTTGGCTTTTACAAGAATTAACAGGGAGGGGAAACACGACTTCAATTTTGTAAAACCAAATTTGTCTCACAAAACTTACATATTTCTCCTAGGCTACTCAGTAGTGTCCCTTTAAATTGATGAAGGCAGCATGGCTTATTCCTATTTTAGTAAGCATTTTATTTGGAAAAACAAAACGGGCACATGGCCAAAATAAGTTCTACTCCTAAAATTGTCTTCATATAAATAGCAAACAATGGGTTTAAAGCATTCCACCATAAAATACTGACACTGTTAGACAATTGTTAACATGTAGCCATCTGTCTAGAAACAGGTCAAACAAACCAGTTAGGAAGAGGGGATGAGACACAATGAAGCAAGCCTCAACACTTCAGTCATTCATTTCTCCCACAAGATTCCCTACGCTTTCATCCATGACCACCATTTCCTGGGCTGCTCTGGGTGCTCCCCTCTTTGCAGTCGGAGCCATTCCAAAGACCCACTTCTACTGCGCTATCTGTAAGAAACTGGTCATGGCCGGTCGATAATGGCGAGGTTGTGAAGGATTGGGGATAATCTAGACGTTTTAGCATTTAACGAACAGAGCACCATACAATTGTATTATATGCCAAGATATAACAAATTACCACTTGGACCTCTCCCCTTTTTTTGGTTTGTCTTTTATACCGTGAATGTTTTGGGGCAGCCTGGAAAGCACCTCGTATACTGATGAAGTTACTTGGTACCTTGCAATAATCTGAGAGCCAAGCGTGACTTATGGTGAGGACAAAATCTTTGCATTGTGCTGCAAAGGCGGATACTATGAGCGCATGTGTCCTGATTGTGTGTCAGAGAAGAGCATTTATAGCTTTGTGGGACTCAAGCGTAAGCTGCAATAGGGTGTGAAGATAGGGGTTAGCCTTTTGGGGCAGATTGTCTGTGTGAAAATTGCTTTAATTAAAAAAAATTATATTGGAGGTCATGTGTGTGTGTGTGTGTGTGTGTGTGTGTATATATATATATACTATATATATATATACTACACACACACACGATACTCT